GCACATATTAATGCTGGATCGATGAGTTTTCACTTCTGGGATTACGGCGGATATTCTGAAGGTTAATTACCTACCTTATAGCAGAAAAGAAAATCACAGCAACAAAAAGAAACCCCGCATATTTTGGGAAGGGGACTCCACACCATCGTGAGTAAAAGGGATCGGCAAGGTCTACTGGGCCATAAGACCGACCGCAGTGGAGCTCAACGGCATCCTCTCGTTATTTCTGGAAACAGAACAGTGACAGCCCTGCAGCCCTCGGCCCTTAAGCATTTATGGCTTCTGGAGGTGCCACCAAAGATGACCAGCTGAAAATGGAGAAGCCTGAAAGAAAGCTCATGGGGAAGATTTTGCTTTCAAAAAATCCACAGAGCAGAGGACAGGCCAGGAGAGGGCGCTGTAGGAAAAGACAAAAGTGTCCTGAACTAGAGGGAAAACTACCCCAGCATTTACCTTTGTCTTCTCTGTGTTTTCAGGTGGGACAGAGCGGCTGTTCCTCATGGAACCGAATGAGGTCCTGAATCGGCTAAGGGCCAGAGAAGGGAATGGGACTTAATTGGGCTTGCATGCTCTGTGCCAAATGAGAAACCCTCCACACCCTCCGCTGCCACCTCTCTCTCTTTGCCGCCCTCTGGGCCTCATCCTTGAGGAAGACACCACAGAGCCCTCATCCAGGGGTTTTCTTAATTCTCCTCTGACTGTGGCCAGGCCGGGCTCTAAGCAGCTGGAAGTGAGCGCTACATCAAAAGTTCACTGCGCATGTCAGAGGAAGTCACTCATCATGTGAGCACGGACTCAAAATTAAAATAGGAACAGCCGTGGATGGGAAGAATATCAATGAACCCTGGACAGAAACAGCACTCTCTCCTTTTCTTCAAGCCGTAGGGGCGTTCAAAATTAATCTAACCTCTATATCTGACCAGGTATTATCAATATTTATGAACAGAAATGGACATAAAGAGACTAACATTCATGAGGAAAGGTAAGAGCTATAGAAATTAACTGGAAGGTTTTAGAATTATACTTCAAATGTTAGAGAACTAAGATGACATAGAAATTTAATTTACTAATGAAGTTTTATAGTTCACAATAAACAATTTAAACAAACAAAAAGAATGAAGGAAGCTCCAAAAAGTGTAAATAAGTGTAAATAAATGTTTCTTTAAGAAAAGAAGAAATATTGATCCATGAAGACATAGCCAGAAAATTTCTGCTCCCATCAACACTTATAACTCCCATTCTAAAATGTTATTGGTGTTACTTTTCTCATAAAAAAAAAAATAAGGCCGTCCCACTGACTCAAGGTTGGAAGAGGAGCTGGTCCATTTGCCTTCTAGGCTCATCCCCTCAGTTAAAAGTAACCAAGACGTCAGGGTGGAACAGTGTCCACAGTCAGTGGAGGGGCCTGAGCTCCACCATTCACAGGGGACCAGCCAAGAGCCACTCAGCTGTGGGACCTGAGAAAAACAGGGTCCTGCCACTTAAGCTCTCACCCCCGAAAGGAGAAGCAGGGTGTGTGGATTGTGCAGCAGAAGTTAAGCGGCTGCCTTCACAGCGAGCTCCTCCCTCTCCAGCAAGGGTTCTCTAGCCCCAGCCGTCCCTGGGCTGCCTCCTGACTCATGTGTCTCACTGGCACTCCCTGCTTTTCCATCATTTCCCATCTTGAAGATAGAGAAAGAATTGACCTGAAGAATTAAAACACCATGTTTTTTACTAGACACTCAAAAGTTCATCTTAAAACAAAACATCCTTAAAATTTGTCCATCACAGTTACCTACCTGTGCTGCTTGCAGGCAGCCTTCCTCT